GTCTTTAGGGTTTTGCAACAGGTTGACTTGGGAATTTTCCTTTTTCTCTCTCACTCACGGCAGTGGCTAGTTGCCCAAGTTGGATTTCTAACTGGGCTATGGCTTGAATTTTTGAGTTGAGCACTTTGCCGGTGGTTTGCATGAAGGAATTTAGAATGGTGGATGACTGGGTCAACATGTTGGTAGTTTGTGTATAAGCTTTGATCATAGCTTCTAAACCCCTTTCTAAGACACTTAAACGTTTATCATGATCAGAATTTGAAGGATTTGTAGGCTGGTGAGGATGAGGATGTTGGGTTGGAAAAACTAGGTTAGCTTGTTGAAAATTGTTTGGTGGGTTGAATGGAAGTGTATTTCCCCTAGGGGATTGTTGGTTCGACGCGGGAATGAAGTTTTGATTTCCGGGAGAATTTCCTTGATTCCATGCAAAGTTAGGATGATTTCTTAAACCTAGATTGTAGGTTGGGGAAAATGGATTATTTCTAGGGTGCTGGAATGTAGCGTTCATCTGTTCTAATGCATGGTTGTTTCCTAGGAGAGGGCATTCCTCTGAAACATAGGTAGAAGACTGACATTTATGACATCCCGGGGAAGAAACATGATTGATTTGAGCTGGAGCTCGTTCCTTAACTTCTAAGGCTTCTAACCTCCGCAGAATCGTCACCATCTTTTCTTCAGAAGTAATGTTTGACTCCAGGGAAAGACCACTAGACTTAGATTAGGGAACTGATGAAACCCTGTTATCACAGTGTTCCCACTGCATTGTTTTCTCGGATAAACACTCTAGAAATTCCCAAGTTTTATCTGCATTTTTCCTCATAAAATCTCCCTGACACATCGATTCTAATGATGTTTTTGAAGAATAGTCCAATCCTTCATATATGACTTGGCACAATCGCCATTTCTCTACACAATGATGAGGACATTAGATTAAAAGATCTTTAAATCGGTCAAAATATTTCCATAATGGCTCCCTTGGGACAATTTTTAAGTTTTAAATATTGTTCCTAAGCTTTACCGTTTTATGAATAGGAATTTTTTTTTTGAGAAAAACGGTGACAAATTCCTCCCAAGTTGAGATGGAATTTATCGGTAAGCTGTACAGCCATTTTTTAGCTTTGTCCTTAAGAGAAAATGGAATAAATCTAAGCTTAATAGCTGTACAGCCATTTTTTAGCTTTGTCCTTAAGAGAAAATGGAATAAATCTAAGCTTAATCGCATCTTCATTTTATTCTCTCATTTTAATCATAATACACACTTCCTTAAATTCCAAGATAAAAATATATGCATCTTCTGTTTCATTTACTAAGAATTTGGGAAGCATGTTTATGTAATACGGTCTAAGCTCGAAATTTGCTCCATTTGCTTCGGGGAGCCTTATGCAAGACATATCCTAGAGAACGGGTTGATTTATGGTAGGGCAACACATATCCTGGAGAACGGGTTGATTTGCCATTTCTTGGTTTGGTTCAACACGGATTAAACGATGAGAATTATCCCTAACCCAAGTTTGCATACACCAAAACAAATTTTTTTTAAGGAAAGAAAGAAAATTTGTTTTTTTTTAAGAAGAAAAAGATAGAGAAAACCTAACTAAAACAAATCAAACCAATCACTTTTCAATCACTCTAATTCTAGGGTTTAGCCTAACTCAACTAGACCAGCTTCTAACCAAAAACTCCTACAGTGAAAAGATTAAAGTTTTACCCAGGTAGTTAGTAAGATAAGGATAGTACTAGAGGGTGATCAGAGATCAATTAAGTACCTCGTTCCTTACGGAACGCTTTACGCAACACCTAAACCTTGCCTTAGACACCAACTAATCTGAGAAAACTTAAACTGGCTCACTTAAGGATTTCTTGTTCCTTATTGAGCTCGAGTACTTAGAGGCCAACATCTAATGAGTTTTAGAAGGCTTGGATTTATGAAGTGAGGAATTAGTGATTTGTGGGCTAAGGAAAGGGTGATGAAATCCCTTACCTTATCTTGATTATGGGGTTTTGCCCTTAAGAATATTTTAAGTATGTGTCTTGATTATGGGGTTTTGCCCTTAAGAATATTTTAAGTATGTGCCAAATCAAGTGCTACAATCACTTTGATGAATTCCTACAAACTATATGAAATGCAGCCCTAGAAATTAAAAGCGACTAAAAAAGGATAATAAAAAAAATCTTTATATTTTTTAATTATGGTCAACAACAATCAAATGTGAGAAGAGAGCTCTTGTTTGAATTTATTATCTTGTTAGTTAATGTCCAAGTGAAAGATGAATTTTATTATGGTCAACAAAATTTATTATCTTGTTAGTTAATGTCCAAGTGAAAGATGAATTTTATTATGGTCAACAAAAATAAAATCTTGTTGGTCTCTTTGTTTTGATGATGTTTAACAAACAATTTATCACTAATGTTGTTTGTCTAGTATTTATGTTTATTTATTTATTATAGACAAACAACAAGTTGTAGGATGGATGGAATTGCGTATTCACGATCATATCCAATGGATGTTGGCGGAATTATGGAGTGAAGCCTATGAAATTCAAATTGAATATCCAAGTTCTAGCTTCATCCGCAACTGTACCAAGTTGAGCTACATCGAAGATCAATCAAGCTTGGGTATATTTAGTTTAGGTTTTATATTATGTGTGTTAGTACTTTAAGCTCAATCATATATACACACACATATTTGGTTTTTATATATATAGTTATATATATACACAAGTTTTGTTTTATGAACTTAACAATCATTGTATACATATTTCATTTAGTCTATAAAATTATTTCATATGGTTTCAAAACATTGTTTATGTCAAAACATCAAATTTCATGTATATCACATTTTTATGTTTTGGACACACATGCAAAATACATGAGTTTTCCCAAATGGAAAACTCAATTTGAGAAATTCTTTTTCTAACATGTTCAATTTCATGTTTATAAATGTTTTCCAAAGTTTTATCAATTTTGGAATTAATTTGTTATGTTTATTTGAATTTACAAAATCAAGTTTTTAATAAGCTCATGTTCATGCATGTTTTTGCAAAACTGATGCGTTTTCACAATTGGGAAATAAAATTTGAAAAAGTTCTTCGTTTACATATTTATCATAATATATACAAATATTTCCTAAGTTTTACTAATTTTAGAGTTTTTTTGTTATTTTTAATTTAATCTAAAAAACCGAGTTTTCAGCAGTTTTTTCAGAAACTGTATATCTGTGTTCAAACAAATATTTCTCTCATATGGGAAGTGATAATTTTTATAATTCTTTTTCTAACATATTTGTATACATGTCTAGAACTTGTCCTCAATATTCCATGATTTTTGGAGTTGATTTACTATTTTTAATTTATTTTACAAAGTCAGATATGTAAAATTCCATAATCTGTCAAAAACAAAAACTGCCTGTGAACAGTGCGGTTGACCGTCGTGACTGTAGCAGTCGACCGTTGCACAGTAAGGTAACATCAGTTTTTTGTTTTTTAATGGGTTTTTAAGGTTTTTTGAGTTGTTTTTTTAAGCCTATATATACCTCTTTGCCATAACTATTCCAGATAACTAAGAGAGGGTTTTAAACCAAGTTTAAAAGAGTTTCATCAAGGGATTAAGTTTTTGTTTAAGTGTGTTTAAAAAGCTTTTAAGCATTTGAGATTTTGATTTTGGAAAATCAATTTCACTAGAGCTTGAGGAGATTATCTATTGGTGTTTGAGCATCCAACCATCCTCCTTTAATCTCTTGATCTATTGAGAAGTTTTCTTAACTGTATTTTGTTAATCTAGAGTTATATTGAGTTTAGTTTTTTTTTATTTATTTCTCTTTGCTTACACACACAACCTTTGAGCTTATTATATTTGCATTCATAGTATAATTGGGTTATGGGATTGTGTAACCTAGAGAGTGAGCTTATAATACGTTCTCATCCATTATAGAGAACAAACACTTTGTATTGTACTTAATTGTGAGATTCACTTTGTATTACACTAGTACACCGAGAGGAGTATGTTGTGAGAGTCGGGATTGCTTCCAAGAGGAGTTGCGCTGGTTGACGAACCTAGGGATAGGTTGTATCCGAGCACTTGAGGAAGGACACGAAGAGACCAACACTTATAGGGTGTGGAGTGTAGTTACATTGTGGTATTGTGTGGTATAAACGTTATTCGGGTGATCGTAGAAAACCCGGTTGTGATAGTGGATTTCTCCCCGGGAGTTGGGAGCGGAGACGTAGGACGGAAGGTCCAAACTCCGTAATCATTTGCTTGTGTTTGAGTTTGCTTTGGCGTTTCATTTGTGCTTAGTATTTATTCTTTCTTGTCGCCATAGTCTATTGCCTTATCACATTTGTAGATTGTTTATTTCATCCTTGTGTTAGTTTATATATCCTTGCATATATTTTACTATATATCTCATTGCTAGGATATTGCTCTTTGTTCATATTGCTTTTCTTGCTTGTAATATATTGTATATCTATCTTGTAAGAATAATTTATTAATTAGTTTTAATTAGCATAAAATCAGATTAGATTAGCATAAGACCCTAATCACCCCCTCTAGGATCTAACAATTGGTATCAGAGCTTGGTGCTCTTTGATTTAAGGTCTAATCGCCTTGAGTTAAAGATCCAAGTTATCTTTTTGTGCTAATCTTCTTTTGATTACATTTGTATCTTGCTTGTATATTTTTATAAATTATGGATATGAATGATGCATCTTGTTTAGGCTATGATTCTAGTATTGCTCCTAAATTCAATGTTTTCCCCTATGCTCAATGGTGTTTTAGATTCAAAATATTTATTCAATCTAAAAATATCGATTTATGGGAAGTCATTGATTGTGGTTATATTGTGACCATGTTGGAGAAATCCAAGTGGAGCAAACATGATAAAAGGATGTTTACAATGAACAAGATTTTGTTAGAATATTTGCTAAATGCTCTTAATTCATCTATATCTAATAAGTTTGTTCATTATGATAGTGCTTACAACTTATGAAAACTTATTGAAGCACATCAAGGGGACTTAGAGGCGATCCGACAAGCTTTGGAGGATCCCGCTTCAAGTTCATATGGAACATCATGCACACGCCCACTAGGCGATGGCCCTAATGAGGTTTGCGAGTTTGAATCGATTAATGATTTATCTAGTGATGAACTTGCTTGTGCTAGTGAAAATTTATTGTATGCCTTTAACAAATTGAATAAAGATTTTATTGATTTACAAGGCAAGCATGATAATTTAAAATTCGATCATGAGAAGCTAGCTTCCAAATTTGATGTCATTACAAAAGAAAATATTATTCTTAAAAAAACAATGACTTATTAAATTTGGAAAATGAAAATTTGATCTCATCAATTGCTAGCCTATCTCATGCTAAGATTGATGACAAGTTAGAAGTAGAGAACATAAAAAATGATACAGCTTCTTTTATAAATGAATATTTATGTTCTACTTCTAATGTTAATGCACATATGTCTAATGATGAGTTGAATATTGTTAAAAATCGTATTTCATCTTTAGATTCAACTCGTAAAACACGCATTGTTAATAATAAGAAACTTATGGACTTATGTGCAAAGTTTCGTGTTAATTCTTTCAAATCCAACACTCACTATGCACATATTTATAGCAAAATTTACAAATGTTCAATTTGCGGTCGTAAAGGCCACATTGCTAAATTTTGCTATGACGCAAACAAATCTTCTAAGACTAATGCTTCTTGTGCATCCCATAAGGCTTCTTCATCACATGCACATGTACATGCACAAACTCATCATGCTCATCATAAACATGCACATATGTTTAAATGTGATCTATGTGGTCGATTTGGCCATTTGACAAAGTTTTGCTTTGATTTGAAAAAGATTTCACTTTTGCCAAATAATTTTAAAAGACCACAGAAGTTTAAGTGTGATCATTGTGATCGTTTTAGTCATTTGACCAAATTTTATTTTGATTTGAGGAGAGTTTCTCGTTTGCAAAATAATTTCCAAGATAAACCTATTTTTACAAATGAGTCTCGTGCACAACCGTTTGGTCAACATAAGCAAATACCTCCTTTCCATTGTACTTATTACAATCGGAAGGGTCATTTGAGTAATTTTTGTTATGACCGTGTCCGTGCACCACATGCGTCCAAGAGGGTTCATAACCCTAGGGATTTGAGCTTGATTGATAGGGGTCATATCCCTAACCAATCCGGCACCAAGAATGCTTGGGTGCCAAAATCTTTTTAAACTAAGTATTTTAGTGTTTTTCTTTTTCTTTTTCTTGGTTTTGAAAATTATACTTTAATTTTTTGAGCATGAAAACAATTCTTTTTATTGGTCAAATTCTTTTGTTTTCATAATTATTGGTTTTTGTTTTGATGAGAGGTTTGTATATATATAACCCCCCGGATTTATTGGGTGTTTATTCTCAAATCTTGTTTACCGAGTACTTTATGTCCTTATATGGGTTGGAACAAGCCTAAGAGCTTGACATATTGTTGCCTCTCTTGCATTTTGTTAAAAATTTTGTTTTGAGTTATTGCTTTGAATTCATTATATAAGCACAAATAGATGATTCAAATTTCAAATATGCTTTATAATGTATTATTTATGTGGTTTGATCAAGTTTTACAAAGAAAGTTTTCTTTATTGATCAAATGTCATTTTTGGGCTTAAAATTTGATTTATGATTTCATTTGGTTAATTTGTTTTCATTTGAAAACTTTTTGCATGATTCTCATGTTCCTCTTCTTTTGATTTCATAAATCTATTTTTTATACCATGTTTTTATAATTGTGTAATGAGACACTTCTTTCATAAATGATATATCTATATATGTCCTCATTATCCTCTTATATGTGAGTGATATTTAGCATATTCATCTATGCTTGCTCACATATGATTGTTATCCTCTTATATGTGAGTGATATTTAGCATATTCATCTATGCTTGCTCACATATGATTGCCTTAGCACTTCATTTTATATATTCTATATGAATTTAGCATATTCATCTATGCTTGCTCACATATGATTGCCTTAGCACTTCATTTTATATATTCTATATGACATTTTGATAGGGGGAGCAATCATTATATTTGTTTTATACTCACCTATGCTCATATGTAGGGGGAGCTTTCGCTCTCTTCATTCTTTATGGTTTTCCCCATTTTGATGTTGTCAAAGGGGAAGAAATATTGTGATTATAGCCTTTCTTGTTTATATGCATGATAATTATAATATTGTATATTCATTTTCTTTCATGCATATATCCTTTTTGTAAATTATTTATCATCATCAAAAAGGAGAAGATTGTTGGTCTCTTTGTTTTGATGATGTTTAACAAACAATTTACCACTAATATTGTTTGTCTAGTATTTGTGTTTATTTATTTATTATAGACAAACAACAAGTTGGCGGATGGATGGAATTGTGTATTCACGATCATATCCAATGGAGGTTGGCAAAATTATGGAGTGAAGCCAATGCAATTCAAATTAAAGATCCAAGTTCTAGCTTCATCCGTAAGTGTACCAACTTGAGCTATATCGAAGATCAATCATGCTTGGATATATTTAGTTTAGGTTTTATATTATGTGTGTTAGTACTTTAAGCTCAATCATATATACACACACATATTTGGTTTTTATATATATAGTTATATATATACATAATTTTTGGTTTATGGACTTAACAATCATTGTATACATATTTTATTAAGTCTATAAAATTATTTCATAGGGTTTCAAAACATTGTTTATGTCAAAACATTAAATTTCATGTATATCACATTTTTATGTTTTGGATATACTTGCAAAATACATGAGTTTTCACAAATGGAAAACTTAATTTGAGAAATTCTTTTTCTAACATGTTCAATTTTATGTTTATAAATGTTTCTCAAAGTTTTATCAAATTTGGAATTAATTTGTTATGTTTATTTGAATATACAAAATTAAATTTTTAATAAGCTCATGTTTATGCATGTTTTTGCAAAACTGATGCGTTTTCACAATTGGGAAATGAGATTTGAAAAATTTATTCGTTTACATGTTTACCATCATATATACAAATATTTCCCCAAGTTTTACTAATTTTGGAGTTGTTTTGTTATTTTCAATTGAATTTACAAAATCGATTTTTTAGCAGTCTTTTTAGAAACTGTATATTTGTGTTCAAATAATTATTTCTATCATATGGGAAGGGATATTTCATAAATTATTTTTCTAACATATTTATGTACATGTCTAGAACATTTCCTCAAAATTTCATGATGTTTGGAGTTGATTTACTATTTTTAATTGATTTTACAAAGTCAGATATGCAAAATTCCAGAATTTGTCAAAAACAGAAACTGTCTGTGAACAGTGAGTTCGATCACGCTACAGTAATGGTAACATCTATTTTTCGGTTTTTTAATGGGTTTTGGGGTTTTTTGAGTTATTTTGTTCAAGCCTATATATACCCCTTTGCCATAACTATTTTAGATAACTAAGAGAGGGTTTTAAACCAAGTTTAAAAGAGTTTCATCAAGGGTTTAAGTTTTTGTTTAAGTGTGTTTAAAAAGCTTTTAAGCATTTGAGAGTTTGAATTTGGGAAATTAATTTCACAAGAGCTTGAGGAGATTATCTATTGGTGTTTGAGCATCCAACCATCCTCCCTCAATCTCTTGATCTATTGGGAAGTTTTCTTAACTCTATTTCTAGCTCTTTTATATATATATATTTGATTATCATTGTTATTAAGCTAGAATTATATTGAGTTTAGTTTTTTTGATTTATTTCTCTTTGCTTACACACACACAATCTTTGAGCTTATTGTATTTACATTCATATTATAATTGGGTTGTGGGATTGTGTAATCTAGAGAGTGAGCTTATAATTCGTTCTCATCCATTGTAGAGAACAAACACTTTGTATTATGCTTAATTGTGAGATTCACTTTGTATTACACTAGTACACCGAGAGGAGTGTGTGGTGAGAGTCGGGATTGCTTCTAAGAGGAGTTGTGTCGGTTGACGAACCTAGGGAGAGGTTATATCCAGCACTTGAGGAAGGACACAGAGAGACCAACACTTACAGGGTGTGGAGTGTAGTTATATTATGGTATTATGTGGTATAAACGTTATTCGGGTGATCGTAGAAAACCCGGTTGTGATAGTGGATTTCTCCCCGGGAGTGGGGAGCGGAGACGTAGGATGGAAGGTCCGAACTCCGTAATTATTTGCTTGTGTTTGAGTTTGCTTTGGCATTTCATTTGTGCTTAGTATTTATTCTTTCTTATCGCTATAGTCTATTGCCCTATCACATTTGTAGATTGTTTATTTCACCCTTGTATTAGTTTATATATCCTTGCATATATTTCACTATATATCTCATTGCTAGGATATTGCTCTTTGTTCATATTGCTTTTCTTGCTTGTAACATATTGTATATCTATCTTGCAAGAATAATTTGTTAATTAGTTTTAATTAGCATAAAATCACAAGGCTGCAGTCCAAGGTGAAACCAAGAATGTCAAACCTGCCATGCACCACACCGTGCAATAACATGTTTCACCATCACAATTCTATCACTCTAGTAGAGTCAATAACAGGTGTAGGTACAAAAGCAAGTAAGAAATCATACAAGAGATAACTGATGAAGTGATAGAAGACAAAATACTATTTCATAATCCAACATTACAGAAATCCAAAGTCAATGTCTGGAATGAATAAACTGGAGTTCTTAACAAGTCTCAAATCATATATGTATAATTAATTGTCCTAAAACTAAGGGGGATTTTAGTACCTAGGAAATTTCAACACGAGCATAGGTACGTCGAGCGAAATAATCCAAACAAGGAAACCCTCATGTATATACCTTGTATCTCAAATTGAACAAAGTCAATGTCTGGAATGAATAAACTGGAGTTCTTAACAAGTCTCAAATCATATATGTATAATTAATTGTCCTAAAACTAAGGGGGATTTTAGTACCTAGGAAATTTCAACACGAGCATAGGTACGTCGAGCGAAATAATCCAAACAAGGAAACCCTCATGTATATACCTTGTATCTCAAATTGAAAATCCCTAAGTACCAAACCCATAATCTAATACATGAACAATAATAAAAGAAAACGAAACACATCTCTACTTTCAAACATGGTGTCATGTCAAACTCACATGAGTGTCA